ATTTTCCCTCTCGAGCATTTAACAGAATTATTTAAAATAACTAATAACCTTTAAGAAGTAAATGTGACTGAATCCAGTTATCAACATGCATCCTGCAGGCCTTGCTCGGTCTTGCCGTCAGTTCTCTTTCCCAACCCCCATTATCACTGTTGGGCACGCCATGGGTGAAGCCCACGAAAGAATGCACTCCGCTTTGTGCAAAGTGTGACTGTGCAAGGCGATGCTTGAATGTCCGTGCTTCTTTTCTGGCATCCTGGCGGGTCCTTCTTCGTCCCCTGAAAGAAAACACCAATGTAATTTGAGTTTAACGGTCTCACCTCTTGACCAAGTTTTCAGAACGAGTCTTTCATTTGTTCATGCATCTAATTCATTCACCTACTCACAAATGCCATCTGTCCAATGAATAGTCATCTTTTGGTGCTGGGGTTATAGTGATAAAAAGACACCGTCCTAGGCAGGTCCAACTACGTCATTTGCAAGGCTGAATGCACAGTAAAGGGGGAAATTTCATGGGCAAATATTACTAGATGTCAACAGCAAAGCATTGATCCCGGCGTCGGACACTTGCTGGCATGGGGCTCTGCGAGACTGCGCAGACCCGGTCCTTGAAGTCCAGACTCAGACATTATCGAGGAGTGAGGCTAACGAACACACAAATAATGACAAGAAACTGATTCCACCCTGCAATGATGGGTGCACAGGTCGTGGAATAATCGCTCAACCCTGGAGAATGTTCTCGCCTTACTAGATCCTACAAATGAGGGCATCATTTAGAGAATCAGTTTCTGGCTGGTTCCACTGAATAGTCAAACCCTGTTTAGCAGATCAACATTCAGCCCCCACACTGTAAGCTTTCCAAGAGTCTTACTTATTAATGTCGGAGTAGGAATTCAACAAAATAAGTAAACCATTTGTAACACTTTGAAGTTGCTAAGAGTCAGAATTGACTAGATGGCAGCGAGTTTGAGTTTGGAGTTAATGATCTGAAATGGCCACTCTTCAGCTAAGTAGGTCTTCTCTGTGTGCCCACCTGGATTGACCCCTCCTCCTAGAGGTGCCCTCCTGTAGATCGTGCCCTCCTAGAGATCAAACCCTCCTCCTCCAAGGGATCCCCAACACCGCCCCGCCCAGCCAGAGGCATGGCCAATGCTTCCTGCACGCTCCCCTTATCAGAAGAATATCAACCTAACAATGAGTTTCCGGTGTGGCTCTAAGGGTTTCAGTAGTCCTCCTTACTCAAAATTGTTACGAGTACAAACAGAGTACACGTGTGTGTGCGCACGCCGCAAGCATGCACACACACACACACACAAGCCTTATAGCAGATCCTTTTCTTTCCAGCGACCACTAACGGAAGCAGTGCTGTTCTCTTCTGCTTCATAAATACCCCCAATACAAATAAAATGATCTCTCCGGTTGCTTCTGGGCCAGTTTGTCAGTCTCTTGGGAGTCTAGCCTTGTTTGGGGTTTGAACTCAAACTCTTTTAAACAAATGGAAAACATTATGCATTTCACTTAATGCCCCAGTAATTCTTTGAGGCAGTATAATCAGTATTCACATTTTATAGATAAAACATTCAGAGGGAAATTGAAGTGATGGCATGAAGGAGACCAAGGGACAGAGGACAGAGTTTGGGTGTGAGCTCAGATGGTCTGACTACGTTGACTCAGTAGGTCTTGTGGAGAAATTCAATGTGCCAGCAGGGGATCAAACAGGAATGAACGTGTCCCAAATCTGGCTCTGGAGTCTGTTCTTGAAAACACAATGAGGCAGGGATTTTTTATCTGGCCATGGTTTTTTTTGTGTTGTCTGCATTTTAATTTATGTGCATAGATAGACTATTGCACATCAATCAAATACATTCAGACAGATAGGTACTGTTAGGTTTCTAGGGTGGAAAATACCTCGATCCTTGACGTCACATGAGAAAGAATTCACCACCGCCCCCAGCCCCACTCGTTCTCTCTCTCTGCCCGGTGTTTTAAGATCTCGTTCATTCTCCGTGAATGAAAACCCAATAAAAACCTCACTGTCACTTTCCCAAAAAAAGAAAGAAAGAATTCACGCCGAATCCTAGTTTGTGATCCAAGTGGGCTTTTATGAAGGACAGAAGTTTCAGGTTTTACAGTTACTGAACACGGGCAACCTTGTGGGACTGTATGTCTACACGCGACGGCCTAAGAGAGAGATGACTGCACAGCCAGCAGAAAGTGGAGAAGCGGCAGAAGGGAAAGAGAGCGGTGGTCTCCCTGTGCCGTTCTTTTGGGCCTTCGGCTGGGAGGCGTGGTTGACAGTACTGGTCGACCCCATTGGCTGAATTAGGCTCACGTGGCCTGGTTTGGGCCCACCCAGGTGTACTTCCTTCCTGGCTCAAGGGCCTGAATTTGGAACATGCCCTGGTCCCTGCTCTAGCTTCCTAATGGATCGGAAGTGGCGATATCAATCAAATAAAATTGGACAGATGACGTACTGTGGGAAATAATTATTTAATATTATAATTATTTTTCAATTTGGGGAAGATTGTTGCGTTAGGGTTTGGATGGGAACGTGTATCTCAAACTGAAATTTGATATCTGTGACTTGAGAGCAAGTCTCACATGAAATGACGCTGTCCAGTGACGGAGTCAAAGAGCTAGGCTGCTTTTAATCAAAGAACTAGAAAAATAACTAGAGATTTTGTTGTTGGAAATCCAAAATGCAACAACCCCCTCCCTTGCAGTAAAAACTCCATTTAAGTAGAATCAATAGGGATGGTCTGACTCAAAAGGCCTTTAAGTAAGAGCATTAAGATAAGTAGTCAGACACAAAATATCTCCCATTTAGCATAACAATGGTGCCCGATGCTTTAGGGAAGGTCTGATATCTCCTACAGAAATGTGGGTAGAGATAAATATTTCCTGGAATCATTGCAAAACTGGAATCGTTTCCATCACATTGTTTGGGGCGTCAATTGTTCCTGTGATCATTGTAAACCTGTTTTGTCACACAGTTTGTGGTATATAACTTGTTTGTTTTTCACTGGGTTTTTGAAGCAGTTTGGAGGTAGCACACCCCAGTTTCCACTGTCTTAAACTTGAAGAATAAAACGAGTTCCTTGAATCAACCTAGTCTCTGTCTTTGGCTGAAACAGTGACAGACAATCGGGGCCCTTGTCCAGGACATAAAAACTACTCTTAGTCGCTGTGAGTCCATTCTAGCTCATGGAGACCCCGGATGTGCAGATAGAACTGCATTCGGTGAGCCTTCCAGGTTTTAATTTTTTATAAGCAGAGGCCAAGGCTTTTCTTCTAAGCCACCTCAGGGTGAATTCAACCTTTTAACTCCCAACTGCTTAACCATTTGCACTACTTAGGATTCTCCCAATATGGAGAGAGAGAGATCAAACTCTCAAACTCTCCTCATGTGTGGACTAAAGTCTAATCTTCTTCAATATAGAATAAAGTTCTAACAATCACCGTTACCAGGAAATTTTAAATGTTCTTTTGTGTGTTAGCTGAGACTTTGAGTAAGTGCACAGTTTACAGTAAACTAGTGAACTGATGTGGAAAGAGGGCCGTCACTGTCCCTCTAACCTCCAGAGAACCTGTTCTGGGGGCAGGTGTGACTCAGGACCTGACACACACTGAGACCACCAAGGACGCCTTGGCTTGAATCATAAACGTTGCTTTTTGCCTTCAGGGAACACGTGTCTGTCTAAGGGTAGCCCCCAAACAAGACGTCGCCCTTCCCCTCTTTGTATGTGTGAGTAAAAGAGGTTGTTTCTTCATTTTCATTCTCAAATTCTTTTTTTTAACTTTATAATTCCACCCACATTTTGTTTTTTCTTTTTTCAATCACCCATATTTTGCTTCTACTTACCATTTCTCCATAGATTACCTGATCATGAGTCAGATGTATGGATTCATGTGGCCCCACGGGTTTTGATACTTGTCTCTGGCCACAGGCTAGCATGACTGGCATTGATTCTGGGTGAAGCAAAGCAGTCGGAGATAGCAAAGGCTGCCTGAGCCATTTCTCACTGCAGGTTTGTTCTATTTTAGCAGCAGTTGGTTGTGTTGCGAACAGTCACGATGAGTCAGAACTCACTTGACGGCACCTAATGTTAACAACAATCAGCTAAATTCTCTTAGAGCTGACACTTGAGGTCTAGCTCTTCTCTGATATTGCATTGCACCATTTAATATGAACTATTTTGTAAGCAGCTGGGACTGAGGCACCTTGGAACTGTAGGAGCTCTACCTGTCTCTTCTCATTCCTACATTACCCAAGTCCTGTATTAAAGTTTAAGTTTCTGAGCACTACAGTTGCAAAAGGCTACAATGTATAATGGGAGTCCTAAATCCATTTATGAGTTTGCACATGAATTTAGACTCCACTGAATTCCTTCTGACCATTAATTAGTAGCACTAATGGCTTTGCCCTCAGGCTGAGCGCATTAGAAGGGATTATCAACCACTTCTCTAGTCAGTCCAGGGAGAAGAGGCTTAATTCCTAAGGCTTTCACTGGGTGTAGCCTAAATGGAAACTGGGGTGGTAGGGCTGCATGGTTATGAGTCATACCCAGAGTGCCTCGGTCAGAGGGCTTTGAACCAATCTGGTAAATTCTTCTGTCTAGCATAATGTGCGGATCCCAATCATGGTCCTGTTTCTACTTCCGTAGTCACATCTGTAACTGTGTTGTATTGATCTACTCTCATGATACTTTTGTGAAGTTTCCTTGGTACACCCCTGTCCTGTTTAAGACTCAATTTCAGCGAACCCTTCCATGTCGTTACACCCTTGAGATAATGGTCTCCCTCATCCAGATGGTGTGTTCTTATCTGTTTGGTCTTTTCCTGTTTTATGTATAAGACATAATGGATGCTTTCCCTAAATTATGTTTGAGATTTGGAGTCTTCTTTGCACCCTGAAACAGTCCAAAGGAGCAGATGATAACATTTCCTAAATTAGTGTATTCAGGAATCTTTAGCTGTTTACTTAATTAAAAATTAAACCATCAATCGCTTCTCGGCCTTTTGGCTAAGATCAAGTGTAGTATCTGTTCTTATCAGTTTACTATCTGATACGCCCTCTATCCGAGAACAACATATTAAATGCATTTTTGTAAGTAGGATTTAGACCAAGAGCTTGCTTCATCCAGTCCACGCATCATCCTGGTATTGCTGTGCTTCCAGGAATGGTGCCACCCCATGGGGCATTCAAAAAAAAGAAAAAAGAGAAATAAAGAAAAAAATTAAACCATCAAAAGTCATAAAATTTTAAATGGTGAGTGTTCATTAGGATGATAGATGCTTTTGAATTAAAGGAACCATTTAAAGGGTTCATTGATAATCCCAACAATAATAGATATTTTGCTTTTATAGCCCATCCTGATCTGCTCTGTACTTCTAGTCTTCGTTATATTAATTATCCTCGATTCATGGCGAGACCACCTACTCACTAATCTGAACTTTACGCTTCCATGTCATACGCAGCAACATTTCCCTGACCTGTTGAATGTAGACTGCTGTTCTGAAAATCATCCAGTGTCTTTCTAACTACTGGATATGATATTTGTATTTACTCTTATTATCCTTGACCTCTGCGTTATTCTACATGTCTGGAAACTTGTCTCTCTTTTTTTCCCCTTTCTTTTTAATAACTCTGGAGTATGATTTACTGCACACTGGTTTGTTCCCTACCTTTCTGAAGGAATCATCTTCTCTCATTAATGGCTTTTTTCCCCCGAATTACTTACATTTCAGTCAGATCATAACACTTAGTCTATATGCACATTTTTTCTATTGCCATTTTATCCTTGCTTAAAAGCATACTTTAAAATGTGAGGTCTTTTCCCTTATACTAGCTATCCTTTGGAGTTGTTTGTTATTGTGATTGTCATTTTCTCAAAGATTGTTTCATGGAATACAGATTTTGTGACCATTTTGCTCCCCAGCTTTTCCTAAAAACAGTACACAATGATTGGTGTGGGGAAAATACTCAGTAAATACTTGTTTGATGAATGAAAGACTATCTTCAGCTTGTTCTTTGTTATGTCTATTGTTACCAAGTATTTATTGACCAGACAACTATTCTGGATGGCACAGGATCAAGGAATGTTACTCTTAAGACCCTATTGTTAAGGTCACAGGGAACTCATCATTTCTCTCAAACCAGATCCATATCTTGCCATCCAGTTTTTCACTGATCCTGTTTCCCCAGCTTTGGGGGTTTTAAATCACAGTGTTGCCCTTGACCCTTTTCTGTGTGTCAGAGAATGTACCAGTCCCTAGATGTATGATCTCATGCATGTCATAACAAATTCATAAGGCATATACATACAGAGGAGTGGGGGACTTCAAGAAGTTCATGGGAAAATTCAGTACATTTAACCTTTCCATAAACCTCTTAAAGCCCTTTTGTATATACATTTATCTATGCTTCAGTTTTTCCAGGTCTGAAATGGGAGTTACACATTCATATATTATATAATAACTTACTGCCATGAATTGATTCTGACTCATAATGACCCTGATTGATAAAGTAGAACTCCCCATGTGAGTGGTTGAGGCTGGGAGTCTTTTTTTTTTTTAAATCATTTTATTGGGGGCTCATACAACTCTTATCACAATCCATACATACAACAATTGTGTAAAGCACATTTATACATTCATTGCCCTCATCTTCTCAAAACATTTGCTCTCCACCTAAGCCCCTGGTATCAGCTCCTCAGTTTTTCCCCTCCCTCCCCGCTCCCCTCTTCCTCATGAACCCTTGAGAATTTATAAATTATTATTTTGTCATATCTTGCCCTGTCTGATGTCTCCCTTCACCCATTTTTCTGTTGTCCATCCCCCAGGGAGGAGATCATATATAGATCCTTGTAATTGATTCCCCCTTTCCAACCTGCCCTCCCAGTATTGCCA